CCGCTTCTCCCTCCAGAGTTTAAGGCCTGTACCACCATACCAAGCTATTAGAATTTCTGAGTTTCTGACTGTTCTCAACTGAAGTGTGATATATTGTAAAAGCTTGCTAAATATTTATTGAAATAAAGACAAATGATGTGTATCTTTTTATTGTTAAACTCCATTGAGGGGCATCAACTTCTGGTATTTTAGGTGGTTGGGATAAAAGCAAATAAAGACTTTACTGCAAGCAACATTTCTGCATTTACTATGTGGTTAATGAACATTTTAGATGTTGGGTGGTGTAAGCATCTGCTGTGTTCTATATCATGAAACATTTGACTCTGGTTCAGTAGTACAGAAATGGATATATATTTGTCATGATGTCTATGACAACTTGAAATATGTAATGTAATAATCTCATAGAATTACTAAAAACCCCAAATCATCTCCATCTCCAAAAAAGCACATAATAGACTATTGATACTTGAGAATAGAGGCTTGCAGACTGTGTATGAACTTGGTTATAAGAATGTAGTAATGGCACTTCTGCTTTATGCCTGAAGATATGAAACCAAGAAAACTTTATTCTGGATGCCATAGCTAGATAATTGAGTCACTTTAATATCTGCTATTTAGCCATTGCCACTGTTTGGCTATGGGTTCTGTCCTTCTTGGCATTTTCTAGCTTTATCTCAGTTACTTCCTGGGTCTCTCAGCCAACTCAAACAGGTTGACTCCAGTTCCATGCTCTATCTAAAGTTCATTGTTTTTTCAAAAATCTGTTCAGTAAGTAAAAATTTGTGCTGTTGAAAAAACTCTCAGATTTCATATATATAACTTCCAAGTCATGAATTAGGAGTTGATGAGGAAGATGCATACTAATGAGTCACTTCTATCTTGTTTGGAACAGGATGCTCTATGAATATGTTGAAAGGAAACGGAAGGAAAATTCGGGAGCTCAGCTGCATGTTACCTACTTGGTGTCTGGCAGTCTTATACAGAACGGGCATTCTGTAAGTTCTCTTGTAACAAAGATTCATGGTCATATGTAAACATCATTAGAAATAACAGGAGAAGGAAGCAGGATTGAATGGTATGGAAGGTTTTTTTTTTTAAAGATTTATTTATTTATTTCATATGTGTGGGTACACTGTCGCTGTCTTCAGACACACCAGATCTCATTACAGATGGTTGTGAGCCACCATGTGGTTGCTGGGAATTGAACTCAGGACCTCTTGAAGAGCAGTCGGTGCTCTTAACCGCTGAGCCATCTCTCCAGCCCGGTATGGAAGTTTTAAAGTACCTCTTAAAGAGAGTGAGCATTCTGAAATTTTAGACTAAATCTGACATCCAGGAAAGGTTATGTAATCTTAGCTGTGATGAAGAGACTATCACTGTTAGTTACCTAGGAAATGAGACATTGGACATTGAGGAAATGAACCTCTTTTTCCTTTTGACTGTGTACTGAAGACACTAGTATTTAATTTTCATCCTCTTCAAATTTCAAGTCACAGATTCCAGTGTTAAAAAAGGAGGAAAAAAAAATTAGGTGACTTTGTTATATGAGTACTCGTTTTGATAGGTCACTTAGAGTGGCCCATTGTTAGGCCTGAAGGCTTAGCTGCTGCGTACAGACAGAGCCGTGGGCTGGGGAGTATGTTTAGGCTCCTGTGTCTTTTTCTGTCTGATCCCATCTGCATCTAGCCCACCAGCATAGGGTACTGCTGCTTTTTTCATCTCAACCACAAAGCAGTCTTAGTCTCAGGTCTGGTGATCTTTTGTTGACTTCCATTTTTTCCATCAGGGGTGGGCACAGGTATCACTGTGTTCTTCCCAGGCCTTGCGAAGAAGCACCAGAAGCTCTGTTGTCTTGTACTGAATCCAGGGAACGTTCATAGTTCTTGAACACTGGCTTCCTGTCCAGCAAATGACACATCTTCTCTGTCCCCACTTTCCTTGAGCCTGTCTGAAGACACTACTATTTCATTGTCATCAGCCCCAGGATCAGGCCCCTCATGGAGATCTACTAAAATGTCTTTTTTACTTCCCTTTTGACTTTCCCTCAAAATCATGTTTGCAACCTCAACTTCGTTTTCCATAATACTGATGGAAGTTGTTTTTTAACAAGAGTCCCAAGCATGTGAGATTTAGAGCTCTTAGGTGAGCTTTATGAGGAAAAGTACAACTTTAGATTCAGATCCCTTTGTTGTCCAGCCAGTGTTTTCTTTCCTTGTTGGCATACTGTTGAAACTCTCAGGTGTTTAGTCAGTAGTGATTCTCCACCTGCCAACCCTGCAACCCTTTAACACAGCTCCTCACGTTGTGACCCCAACCATAAAATTAATTCATTACTACTTCATAACTGTAATTTTCTATTGTAATATAAATACCTGATGTGCAGGATTTTTTTTATATGCAACCCTCCAAGGGGTTTCTGACCTACGTTTTGAAAACCACTGGTTAGTGTGTTCTTGTTATGTTAATCAGGGCTTGTCATTACAAGTTCTCATTAGCTTTTAATTAGGGCTTGTCATTACAAATTCTCATTAGCTTTTTTATGTAGTGATTTTTAGTTGTCAATGATTTTTTAAAATCACCACCTAATTTATTGTTCATTTACCAGACATTACAGAATAGTCAAGTTTTAGGCTAGAATCTACAAAGAACTTTTTTTAAGGACAAGTTTCATTGTGTAGCTTGGCTGGTAGACCAGACTGACTTTGTATTCACAGATCCACCTGCCTCTCTGTAGTGCTGGATTAAAGGTGTCAATCACCACACTATGAAGAACTTCTGGTTGTACATGCTTATAATTCTAGCATTTGAGAGGTTGTTGCATGCTAGTCTGGGCAAGACCTCTCTCAAAAATGTAAAATAAAATTCTGATAGGTAACAGGATTTGTGATGCTGTGCTTACTGGGCCCTTCACCTCGACAGGTGTCCACTACAGTGGTCAGCTCTGCGCTGCTGCACTGTTGTTGCACAGCAAGGTGGCATGTCCACTGTTGAAGCCTGTGCATTTTCAGTAGCCCCAAGCAGATGAACACTTAGCCAGTCTGAACTCCCTGGCTGTCTAGACTATTCGCTTAGGTATCAGTTAATTACTGCCTCTAAGGCTGCGCTACACATCTGCAGTGTTTTAACAGTTAGTTCTTAGTGCCTTTTTTTCTTTTCTCATAAGCTCTGCAATTCTGAATAGAATGAGACATTTTGGGGGATGTCTAGTTTGTGTTTATGATCATGTAAGTGTGCAGGTATGGGGTGTGTGTGTATGCACACATGCCTGTCATGTATGCATATGTCTAAGAGTATGCAAGCATTTGTGAAGGCCAGAGGACAATCCTGGGTATTACTCCTCAAGAGTTGTCTCCTCCTTTTTGAGATAAGCCTGGGACCTGAAGCTTGCTGATCTGGCTTAGGCTGGCTGGCCAGTGGTCTCCAGAATCCTCCTCCTCCTGTCGTCTGTCTCCTCAGCACTAAAATTATAATTGGTCTCACCATGCCCGCCTTTTTACATGGACACTGGGAATCGAACTTAGATCCTTATGCTTCCATAGCAGCCATTTTAGCAACGGAGCTGTTGCCTTACCATTTTTTAACTAGAAGAAGCCAACAAAAAGAATCCATAAATTTTCTTTTTTTTTTTTGTTTTTTGTTTTTTTTGAGACAGGGTTTCTCTGTATAGCCCTGGCTGTCCTGGAACTCACTCTGTAGACCAGGCTGGCCTCGAACTCAGAAATCTGCCTGCCTCTGCCTCCCAAGTGCTGGGACTAAAGGTGTGCACCACCACTGCCCGGCCATAAATTTTCTTAATTCAAATTTATGATTACATTTCTAAAAAGCTTTTTTTGATATACTGGGGAGATTGCTCAGTGGTAGAGCAGTTGCCTAGCATGTATAAGGTTCTGGGTTTGACCATCAGTACTGAAACACCAAAACAAATAAAAATTTATGTTGTTGCCAAACATGGTTTCTCACACCTGGAATTGGCAGCACTTGAGAGCCTGAAGCAGGAGTTACTGAGTTTGAGGCCAGCCTCAGCACAATGTGAATTTCTGTCTCCTAAAAACCAAACAACCAACCAAAACCAAAAAAGGCTTGCTTGATTTTTATATTGCTCTTCTATATTGAGGATTTTGGTGGTTCTTTTTTTTTTAATTAATTATTTATTTTATATATATGAGTACACTGTAGCTGTCTGCAGACACACCAGAAGAGGGCATTGGATCCCATTACAGATGGTTGTGAGCCACCATGTGGTTGCTGGGAATTGAACTCAGGACCTCTGGAAGAGCAGTCAGTGCTCTTAACCTCTGAGCCATCTCTCCAGCCTCGATTTTGGTGGTTCTTAACTTTGACATAAATGTGTATTGCTGTAGCCAAATATGAGATTTAGAGGAGAAAAATGAATATTTTTACTAGCACTTGCTGAAACTTTTTTCAAGAATTTTTATTTTGAAAGTTTTCTTTTCCCTGTAACATATAGTCTGCTTAAGCCACCCATTGTGGCGTTTTACCAGTTTAAGATCTATTTAAACTCAGTTCTCTTTCCTTCAGGAAAGGGCAGGCCTCCCGGGGATATCAACCAAACATGGCCTATCAAGTTGTAATAAGACTAGGTCGGACAATAGTTGCAATAATATTAAGGCTGGATGAGGCAATCATGTAGGAGGACAAGGGTCTCAAAAGCAGGTAAAAGCTTCAGAAACAGCCTATACTACCCCTGCTAGGAGTCTCATAAAAACACCAACCTGCACAACTATAACACACACACGGCTTAGGTCAGTCCCTTGCAGGCTCCTTGATTGTCAGTTCAGTCTCTGAGAACCCCTATGAGTCCAGGTTGAGTGCAGGTTAGTTGATTTTGTAGGTTTTCTTGTGGTGTCCTTGACTCTTCTGGCTCCTACAAATCCTTCCTCCCCCTCTTCTGCAGAATACCCTGAACTCTATAATATTTGGCTGTGGGTCTCTGCATCTGTTTCCATCAGTCGCTGAATGAAGGCTCTCTGATGACAATCTATGAGTATAGCAGAATAGACAGATGTAACTTTTATTTAGTTCCATAGATTATATAATAGTTATCATTCAATTATTTATTAAAAATTGCTCTTACACCATTTGAGATAGTTTTGTTTCAGAAAAATACTGAGGCTAGCTTCTCATTTTCTTTAATCTCTTTTCAAGATGATGTAAAATATGCAAGTTAAAAATTAGTCAGACTGCACTATACTGTAGTGTATTTTCAGGGTACCCGGTGTTTTTCTAATTTCATAGCTAAACACAACTGAGTAAAGGAAGCTGAAATTCTAAGTTCTGTGACTTTTACTACTGATGAGGTGTTGTTCCTTGCAGTGCCACAAGGTTGCAGTAGTGAGAGAAGATAAACTGGAAGGTAAGAGCTTGAGCAGCTGAGTAAGCTTTTCGCTTTGCCTCTTACAGCATTGATTGTGTGTAGTCTATATAAAGTGTATTTGGCTATTTAACCAGTCTTATATTCCTTTTACTAATGGGTTTTGAATCGTTAATCTTCTTACATTTGCCTAACTTCTCATTTTTAAGGCTGATATTTATAAAGTACGTCTTTGACAGGATTTCAAGACTCTTGACAGACATGAGAAAATTTTCATGAATTTAGATGACATGGCTCCTTAAGCTATGGATTGGAATACTATGTGAGGTTGAATAACCGAAACTAGACCTTGCAAGAAGAGTATTAAACTGAGCTCAGAACAACCAAGACTTAATAAAATATCAAATGTGGTAAACAGTGAATGTAGCAGTGTATGTGGGATGATGAATCCACAGAATGTGTATTTTGTGGCAGTGCTCACGCATGTTACATCACGTAACCTCACTGCAGCTTTAGTTCTGAGCACATAGTCAGTACCCTTTGCATCGTGTGCCATCCTGCCATGCAACACCAGTGAGTGTGGTCCGAACCACCTTGGCCCAAACTTGAGCCTGTGTATGACACATGCTTGGTAGATGTTCTCAGTTGCAGTCTTTTTACTGTATGTGTAAACTTCTGTGCTCTTACAGAAACATAATACTTTAATTATGAAAAACAAAGAATATCTTCCCACTATCATTCCTTAGTGTATAAGTATCAAATTAGTGTGTTTGGGGATTGTATTTATGTTAGGATATTAGATTCTAAAGAGTGCTATTTGAGTTGCTCCTTGTTTTATTTAAAAAAAAATATTCAGTAAATTTCAGCTTGGGTTAGAATGGAGTTTCTAACAAATTGAAATGGCCTAAATTTACCTCTTCTATTTTGTAATTTGTATTTCTGCAAAGTGGTAGCGTTGTCAGCACTGATGGTTATAAAAGCAAAATATTGATCAGCTACGAAACATTGATATGTTCTACATTCTGCAGGATCAAATATTCAGCCAAGATTTCAATTCTTTGTATAAAAATAAACACATTTGTTTCATTAGTATGTTAAACTTGTTTTCATCTTCGATAATAAAATTATTTTGTGTATGTCAAAGGGTTGTTTTAAAATAAAATTCTTTATGACTATCAGTAAATATTTAAATTGTGTACTTATATATATGAAAATATATATATTTGCATAAAAATCTCTGGTTAAAAAGGAAATGTTAAGAAACTCCATCATATGTGGTGGTTAATATGTTCCAGGCTCTGTGCTAGGCTGTGGGGACAGTGAACAAGTTAGGCACAGTTCCTTCCCTTGTAGAACCCATAGTTTACTCCTATGATAATGGTATTTTAATTTTGTTCTGCAGACTCACTTCATTAGTAATAATATTATGTAGTTGCTTTCTGTAAACTGAAATTGAAACATACAAGTAAGTTTCGGTAGAGATAAATCTTCTCAGGTAGTGATTACTTAACTGACTGAAAACAAAGCTTCATAATCATCATTAATTCTGAGTCACTATTTGCTGACTGTCCCTGGGTGAGTAATATTCTCACAGGTGCTGTACTTAGAAACAACTCAGCACCAACATGTCCCATTGCAGACAGAGGCTTGATGTTCTTCTACTTTATATGTAGCTGTTTGGCCTGTTAGAGTTTTTGGACCACCATATAGATTGCAAATGGTTTTAGTGCAGAAGAGTTTCTTGTTAAAGTCCCACAAGCTATGAAGTTGTGTATTAACAGACTGCTTTTCCTGTTGACTTGTAGCAGTGAAGTCCAAGTTAGCTGTGACTGCCAGCATCCATGTGTACAGCATCCAGAAAGCTATGCTAAAGGACAGTGGGCCTCTGTTCAATACCGACTATGACATCCTTAAAAGCAATTTGCAGAACTGCAGCAAGTAAGCTCCTTAATGTTCTTGTGGGCTTCTTTACGAATTGATTTTGTAAGGTGTTTACACAGTGGCTGCCTCTTAAGAGTGAGTGCCAAGTCTAGTAAAACCCCATTTATCTTGCAGTAAGACACATGCCTGGTTTTATTAGTACATCATAAGGTGAAAAATAGCAGCCACGACCCATATTGAAACCCCACTGGACTCCCCATAAATCTATTTCTCATATATTTATCTTGTCATCACCACCAGAAATGTTTGTTGTGTCCCTCACTACCCCTTTGCCCTAGTCTCTGCTTGTCTGATTCTTACCCATCCTTTAGGAGGTAGATAAATGGTGCCCTTCAAAAAACTGTTTCTAAATTTGACGTCCCGTTCCTCCAGCCAAAAGTAACTTGTCCCCAAGGCTCCATAGCCAAGATCAGATCTTCTAAATCTTTTGTGTTCAGGGCACTGGACAGTGACAGGCTATGATGTGTGTGGATTTTAGACACTGATAATCATAGGTTTTAGTCATATTTTGCTACTTAATAGACCAGTGGCTTTGGACAAATTACTTAATACTTTCTAGCTTTGGTTTCTTCATCTTTAAATCAGTTATGATAATTCCTACTATGTGAGATTGTTCTGAGGGCTCAAGTCAGTTCTTTAAAAATATTCTTGGGTATCTACCACTTTGATTTAATAATAATTTAAATTCAGGGGCTGGAGAGGTGGCTCAGTAGTTTAGTGTACTTATTAATCCTGCAGAGGACCCAGGTTCAATTCCTAGTACCCTACATGGTGGCTTACAACCATCTATAACTCCAGTTCCAGGGGATCTAATACCTTCTGACCTCCTTGGGTACTAGGTGTGCATATGGTGTACAGACATACATGCTGGCAAAACACTCTTACATATAAAATCAAATAAATTAACTAAAAGATAATTTGAAGGTGTTTGGTGTATATCTGCTGTGTACCATTGAGTTGTTTTGAGAATGAGGCCCAGTACCTGTTCCTGAGGTTGGTGGCCCCCAAGAGATAATATTTCAGTACAGTGCTATCAAGAAGAATGGCATGAAAAGATTTTGGAGACAGGCATTTGTTCCCAGCTTCTGGATGGGTGGAGTGAGAGGAAAACAGGTGACTTTTCCAAAAGGTTGAGGCATCTAGGTTAAGACTCAAGGGTCCAGTAGAAGTTGTCAGATAGCAGTGTCAGAGTAAAGATGGAGCCGAGAGAGAAAATGACGTTGCATAATCATTGTCCGTTGGTCAAGTATAGGGTGACAGACAGTTGGGAAGTCACTAGAAGACTGGAGTCAGACTCCCTTTGAGTGCTTTCATGGAGCTTAGGCTTGACTCTGAGAAGAGCTGTTGGGGTTTGGATATGTAGATTTGCTGGAAATCTCAAGGAAGGATATTTATTGCAATAGTTAAGTCTCAAGGTGAACAGAAGGATTTTGGATTCAGGTAAGCTGCTGGGCCAGGGCACAGATACAGCCGTGAAGAGAGAGTGTAGAATGAAGGAAGGACAGAAAATAAAACTGAAGGTTATAATTTTTACCAGCTATCTGACTCTGGACAAAATATCTAGCCAGGCATGGTGGTGCATCCTTTATCCCAGCACTTGGGAGGTAGAGGCAAGATGAGTAGTAGTTCAACATCATCTCAGTTATGTAGGAATTTGAGGCTAGCCTGCACTACATGAGACCCCAAATTATGGTTTATCTTCCTGTTGCTGACAAAAGTAAACTTTAAGGAGAAAGGTTTTATTCTGGCTTGCAGTGCAGTGGCACGCTCCATTATGGTGGGGAAGTCAAGGCTGCAGGGTCTTGAAGCAGCTCATCATATCATAGTCCCAATCAAAAATCAGAGCGCAGTGAAAGCATGTTCAGCTCACAGTCTCCTTTTTATGTAGTCCAGGATCTCATTCCAGGAAGTGGTGCCACCCATGGTGGGCTGCTCTTTCTACCTCAGCCAGACGAAGGTATTTCCTTACAGGTGTGCCTAGAGGCCATACTTGGAAGAGATGCTGAATCTCATCACATTGACAACTGAGAGATTAACCGTCTCATCCTTTTGGGTGGGGGGCGGTTAGAGACAGGGTTTCTCTGTGTAGCCCTGGCTGTCCTGGAACTCACCCTGTAAACCAGGCTGGCCTCAGACTCAGAGATCCTCCTGCCTCTGCTTTCCAAGTGCTGGGATTAAAGGTGTTCGTCACCACAGCCCAGCTAACCATCTTGTCTTATCTGGGAGTGGGACATAAAGTAGGAGGAGAGGAGAGGAAAACAGGAGAGTTTATCTCCAATAAAAACATTTGTGCTTGTTCTTAAGACTTTTGAGCCTCGAGATCGTTGTGTTTTAGAAAGTGCTGTGAAAGCAAGGAAGTGAGAGCTCAGGTCAAGCAGTCTTCTCCTAGGACCGCTCCAGCCTAACGTGGTCTCTACTGGGTGCCAGTTGCTGGTCCTGATCCTAAGGTGTAGAATGAAGACCAAATAAAGAGTTGTCTTAGGGCCAGCTTTAGATGCTGACATTGAAATAAAGCATTGCTGTTAATGTTAATATTTAGAACGGCATTTTCTTGGGCTGACTGTCTAAGCGGCAGCAACTCTGCTTAGCTCAGGCCGCCATGCTCCAAGGCCAGAGGCCACGTGCTTCACAACTGGAAGCGGCCAGAGGCCACAGCCACACCACAGCTAGAAATAGGCAACCAGAAACACCGGGCCCTGGCACCCAGGAGACTCCCATGCTGTCTCCACAAGGCTAGGCTGAGCCCAGACCATCCTGCCATCCACGTGGTACCCATAGAAATGAGACTCCAATGTTTAAAGATTGTCCAATAGCTTTATATATTTGGTAATGCTCAAATATCAAGATGCCCACACAATTAGAGGTGTTACCCAATACCTAACCTAGATACTACAACTACCTTAGACTGCTAGAGACACGCATACATACTCCGTCATCCCCTGCCCCCCCCCCATCCACCCTCTTCCTTCTCTTCCTCTCCTCACTCTGCCTACCTCTCATACAGCCCAATCCTGAGCTTTATACAAATGTAGTGGGATGGTATCGCGCTACAATCACCTTTTCCATTGTACCTAAAAGTGCTGCAAGGCCAGAGAGGAAGACCAGTGGGTAAAAGTCAATGATTTCCGTCTGCTGTCTTCAACTAGAGGTGTTCTGAGTGGGCCATAGTGACTCAGTGGAAGGTTTGTGTTGCTCTGAAGCTACTTAGTCAAAAATTATTTCTGAAATGAAATACTGTCAGTGACCATTTGCGTAGGCAGTTTTTCTAGTTAGTTTTTAATAGCTCCTATCTCCACATGGTTTCTGCATTTCTCTTTTAAGTGAGGTGATATACTGAAGAAAAAGGGGAAACTAGAAACTCCCCCTGATCTGCAAACCGGTCATTCTGCCCAACTCATATGCTGAGTTCCTGTAATACAAAGAATGAAGAGGGCCTCCAGGGAACTTTCACCTACCCCCATAAGCAAAACACTGGAAAGTAAAATATTTTCTTAATTAGGAGAAGCTGGGGGACTCTGTCCTATGTCTGACCCCTGAGAAGGCTCAGTAGGTTCCCATCCACATCACGCACTGTGGCATTACAGTCATGTGAAGCAGGCACTTACTTGGCGCTTACTGCAGACTAAGAGGTGGACTACTCCCGGTAATACACTAATGCAGACTATTACCCAGACATCACTAGCCTTCGGTATGTTGCTCTGTGGTCTAAGTTGGTATTTTTAGAAGTGAGAAACAAATGGATGCAAAGGAGCATGAGTTATGGAAATGAGTGGCTCTATCCCTACTTCACCCTTTAAAGTATGGCACACTCTGGCTAGGAGAGTTGCCAAGAAATTGGTTAGTAATGTATGACTGTTAGCTCTGAGTCTGTTGATAGTTGCTTCTCCTCGAACTTGGTCAGAGGACCTTCTGGTTTTCCATAGATGGTGAGATTATTTCTGTTCGCTGGAGAATAAGAGGTGAATAAAAGCAAGTATAGATGCTGGGCTGTGGAAGTGCATACCTTGAATCCTAGCACTCTGGAGGCAGAGGGTGGCAGATTGCTGTGAGTTCAAGGCTAGCCTAGTCTATATATTGAATTCTAGGACAGCCAAGGCAATGTAGAGAGACCCTGTCTAAAACCAAAACAAAAAGAACCAAAATTCAAACAAACAAAAAAGCAAGTGTGTTCACTATGATGTGATAGAATGCAATTGATTGAGAACTAGCTTCCTGACTAGGTAAGTGCAAATTATAGGCCAAAGTTACTTCTCCACACTGCCTAGTTCTTTACCCAAATGAGAGTTTTATATATCATTTTTTCTATTATCAGTCTAGTTTTTAAATTCCTTAGTCTTATATTAATGTGGAAAGATATCTAGAAGGCACAGAGTTTGAAAATGAGGTTTGATAATGACATTAATCTTATACTCAATTCTGTCATTAGGTTTAGTGCCATACAGTGTGCAGCTGCAGTCCCCAGAGCTCCTGTAGAATCCTCATCTTCCAGAAAGTTTGAGCAATCAAATCTTCAGGCAGCAAGTGAGACACAAGCCAATGAGCTGACTACCAATGGCCATGGTCCACCTGCCTCCAAACAGGCTTCCCAGCAGCCCAAAGGAATTATGGGAATGTTAATTTCTAAAGCTGCTACTAAAACCCAAGACACCAACAAGGAAACCAAAGCAGAGGCCCGAGAAGTAACAAGTGTAAGTCTTCTTTCCAGTAGGCCAATTTTTGTAACAGGATGGGGATCTAGGAAAGCCTTCATGGCTTCCATGCTAGGCTATTTGTGTACGGGTCCCATGATCAGTTCAAAGTTGTCTACTTTAGTTTAACATTTATGGTTATTTGAGGTCTTGCTATCAGGTCCAGGCTGACTTTGGCTCCTCTTCCCTCTCTGCCTCTCTAGTGCTGGGAAGAAGCATGAGCCACCGTGTCTAATATAGTTTGAGTCATATTTTAGTTAACGTTTAATGTCTCCTCTGATAGTCCTTTCCCCCATAATACTTCTCACTAAGATTGGATTCTCTTTCTATAAAATGGTGATACCTGGCTTGTACACTAATAAGATTGTTGTGACAGCCATTGAAATAATGTACATAAAAATCACCCTGAGAACCTGCAAGTTTGAGGAATTGTATGTCAACACCGTGACATTTGAGAACACGTAGATAAGGTTTTGCCATATGTATCTTCCTTCCTGGCATATTTAACATCCCTGCTCTGGTTTATGCTTTTTATTCTTGTCCTTATTCTTCATTCATTTCTCTTTGCTTTTTATTCTCAGTAATCTGCACTAACATAAGGTCGTTAAAAAAAATAACTGTCTTGGTTTGGTGGTACATGCCTGTTATCCCAGTATTCAGGAAGTTGAGGCTGCAAGATGAGACCCTATCTCAAAAAGAAAATAAGAGAAAAATGCAAAGATACTGCTTTAAAAATCTAGAAAGTATAGTTCCTGTTGTTGCTACTAATTCTTTCTGCCATTGTTTTCAAGCTTCTGCTTTGGGAAAAAGGAAAGATGGGGAACAACCCACATTGAATCCCTTCTGTGCACTAACAGCCTGGTCTTTGTGGAAAGCCACCTGTTTGATTCTTACTGTTTTTTGTTGTATGGGTAAGACTTGAGCCCAGACTTGTGAAGTAGTTTGCCTGCAGGTCATACTGCTCTGAAATGGTAGGTCCAGGATTCAGATGCACTTCTGAAAATTAAAAATACTGTACCCCCTTTCCTATTGTTTACGATACCACTCCTGATTTAATTCTTTTAAGACAAGTAGTTTTTAAATCAAGAAAAAGCTCAAGAAAAGCTCAGATGTATTCACAGATTGTATAAATGGAAAGCAGACCTTGCAGATTAAGCGAATGCTGTCTGGTGATATAGATTCCTGTCCGCGGTTCCTGTAGCTGACATCTGCACGTTTTGCTCTGATCTACAGAGTCAGTGCTGTTGCTATAGAGTTGGTGCTGTCAAGGTGGAGTGCTTTGGTTTTGTGACAGTTCTTCACCTGGCCTGTGGTGACTTTGATCTTGTTATGTAGCTGAGGATGGCCTTGAACTCCTGATCCTCCATGTTCCACCTCTCATGTTCTGGAATGACAGTCTTGAATGTCATGCCTAGCTTTTAGTATGCTCTATTGCTAGAGATTGATTGAGGCCATGCATTCCAAGAGCAGCCTAAATGTTAAACAAAATTTAAAATTGTGTGTTTTCTTTTTTATTCTTTTAGGCATCTTCCGCTGGGGGCAAAGCACCAGGAAAAGGGAATGTGATGAGCAACTTTTTTGGAAAAGCTGCTCTGAGTAAGCATGTTCTTTATGTCTTTGAACTTGAACTCACAGGTGAACATACGGTAGTAACACAGAGGCTGAGGGGGAGACCACCAGTCTAGTTTTTGCCTGTCTAGGCATTTCTTCTTCCTAACAAATTCACAGTGTGCTGACCAACGTATTGATGAAAGTAACCAAGCACTCAGGAGACTTTCTGGGTGTACTTGAGAGCTCTTGGAGGGCAGTTTATATTATTTCTGCTTTGACTTTTTGCCTTAGAAAGAAAATAAAATAATCACTTCATGGAGCTTTTGGAAATGGGTAATTAAAATGAGAGAGTGGTTGCCTATATAGAGTTACACTTAATACCATGGATACTGCATCAGTTTGCTTGGTGTGATTCTAACTACTACTGTCTCTCCAGGGCTCACAAAAATAAATATTTTGCCTTTCTTAAGTTGGTTTTTAAGATTACTCACAGCACTAAATTACATGTCAGTGTGAATATAGGCAGTAATGTTCAGGCCATTAAAATGCACTTCTCTCTTTCTTCCTTTCTCTCTTTCTTCCTTTCTCTCTTTCTTCCTTTCTTTCTTCCTTTTTTTTTGGAGGAAGGAAAAATCTTATTTAAGAATTCTTTCTTAATGGAAAGAGCCAATAGTACTTGTCATATCAAGTACTCATTCCCTGGGATACATGGCAGAATACCAAGAAGAATGTAGGAACCATAGGATACTTACCACACAGAGAACATGCCTTTTGTTGCATGCCTATCCAAGCAAAATTAATGTGAATTTTGCTTTTCCATGATGGTCGGTCAGTACACGAGGAGGATTGGAGTGATGGTGTTTTATTTGCTGTGGAGGCTCTCAGAATGTTTTTTCATTGTGAAAGTAACAAGTGTGTTACATGGAAGGTATCCAGAAGCATGTGGTGCCAGAGCAGTGCATAGGAGGTTCCTGTTTCTGTGAGCATACACCACACTGTCATTAGTCTGTATGCCTGGTGCTGGGACATGTATTCAGTCCCATACCATTTCTTAACAATTTTGATGCTTTTGTTGTTGTTTCATGTGTTTGTAATCTTAAGATTCAGTGAAGAATTTGAATTACTTAAAACTGGTTTTGATTATTTGTATGTGTGTCTATCTGTGGGGATATGTTCACATGAGTGCAGTTTACCATGGAAGCCGGAAGAAGATGTAGGATCCTCTGGAGCTGGAATTACAGGCCATTGTGAGCTGCCTGCTATGCATGCTGGAAAGGGTAGTTAGAACATGCTTGTAACTGCTGAACTTCTATAGTCCAAACAAAGTAAAGAATTTTTTGCTTTTTGTTTTCAGAATATGTAAGATATGCGAATATTTGCTAATAGTAAAACAAAAAGTCAAATTATAAAATGTTAATTGAATACCTACTATGTGCTTCTCACTATTGCATATTGGTGATAGAATGAAAAACAAAACAAAAAAATCTTTCCCCATAGACAGAAGCAGACACTCATAGTTTACTTAGCCTTTAAAAGAATGAAACTCTATTGTTTGCAAAATATTCACTTTCCTGGTCAATTTGAGATGTTTCAGTGGGAAAGTTTGAAAATCACAGATAAGAACCACAGAATTAAAAATTGAAGCAATGATACCAGCACTGGGCTAGTGAAGTCTACCATTTAGGTTTCCCACACAAACCCTCAAAAATATGAGTAGATTGCATTTTACATTCTGACCCATTATCTACACTATCAAAAAATATATGTGCTTTCAACAACTATTGTACTAACCTGCACATATCAGCCAAGACTAAGATAGATGATTTTCCACATGGTAGATGGAGTAAGCAAGTTTCAGAACAGGTAACCCAAACTGTTTTGGTTTTTTTTGTTGTTGTTGTTTTTTGTTTTGTTTGTTTGTTTGTTTGTTTGTTTTGAAGAACCACTTGCTGTATATAGCTTTCTAATTGTATATTGTGACTCTGCCTATGAAAAGCTATCACTGGGTATGCATGAGGCTAGATTATGCATTACTGTATTTTTTTGTTGGCTGGGTCCTTCCTGTCCTACATGGCTGCTTATGTGTGCTGTGGTGTCTCAGCTTAATGTGAAGACCCAGATCAGGAGTTGAACTGACTGAGGCTTGTATCCAGAGCTCAGTTAATATTTGTGCCTGATAGTAGTTTTGTAAATATTATTCCAGTTCTCAAAGAGAAATAATACTTTTTGGACTTGCCCAAAGGGAAGCAGGATTTGAATTAATTCAGTTTTATCATTGAAGGTGGTAGTGAGATAGGAGCATCTAGGCATTCAAAGGTAAAATACAGGGCTTGGAGAGAGAATACCGGGCTCAATAGTTACAGGCTCTGGCTGTTCCTCTAAAGACCCAATTTGAATTCCCAGCTCTCACATGGTGGCTCACAGCTATCTGTAACTGCAGTCCCGGGGGGGTCTAATGCTCTCTTTTGGCCTCCACAGGCACTAGGCATGCATGTGGTGCACAGATAATACATGCAGATAAAATACTCATACAAACAAAAGAAGTAGTTTTTTAAAGGTAGAGTAGAAAAGATATTGCTACGAATTTAGCTGTCACCCACCTTTAAGCTGTGTTCTTGAACATCATGATTATTTGTAGCTCTGCCTCTCTGTTTGAAATTAAGATGAACTTAGGGGCTGCCACGCCTGAAAACCCAAGTTTGATTCCTGGCATTTGCCTGGTAGCGGGAGAGAACATAGCCTCTAAGCTTTATACATGTACCATGACATACACACACCCAGCATACATGCAATAAAGGAATAGATGTAATTTAAAAAAAAGTCAAAGCCCCAAAGCTGAATTTGGTATTTTTAGTTTTGGCCTTTGTTTGCTGTCCTTTAGAGCTGTGGTGTAATTACAGATTAGTGGGCAGCAGAAATGAAGATTACAGATGGTTTCTTAATCAACTGTGCTCTGCTTTAGGACAGGGACTGTTTTTTATCCCTTGCTCCTAACATGTTACCTGGCACATAGTGGACTGTCACAGAATGATGGATTAATATTGTGTGATGGGTTATATATCATCTGTTATACTTTATTTGTAGGTAAACTTAAAGTCAATTTGGATTCAGAACAAGCAGTAAAGGAAGAAAAAACAGTGGAGCAACCTCCAGTGTCTGTCACTGAACCAAAGCTGGCAGCTCCCTCAGCTCTGAAGAAATCCAGCAGAAAGTCAGAGCCTGTGAAGATGCAGCAAAAGGAAAAAAGGTGGTAGGAAAATTTTGTCCCTTGGGGGAGGGAGAGAGTTGTCTTGTGGAGGTGAGATGGTCTGCTTGGGCTTTCTGCAGCAGGCAGTTTTCAGCCCAGCGTTAAATCCTACCTAATGCTTTCGGGATGTAACCATCCATCCAGGTAGAATGAAGACAGAAGCCCCACAGCTCATCTAGTGAGTTAGGACCGTGGGGCAGCTGGTTGGGTGATTTAGGATCGATCCAAGGCTATATTTTTGTCTCCATTGATGCAAATTGATTGCCTCTGCCTCCAGACTTCAGTTTAAATGTGTAGACACTGTGTAAGTGTGCCTCTGTGTGTGTGCATGTGTGTTTCACATCAAATTGCCCAGTGAGAAGTTACTGTTTCCAGTCCAGTTTAAGAGAAGAAGTTCTTTGTTTTCTTTTTATATCAATGAGTTTATTTTTCAAGTGGTAAAATGTAATTAGAAAAGAAAATAAAAAGCACACAAGCTGTTAAAAATGGATCCAGGAGTTTGAGACACTACCTCATAGCTGGTAGGAATTAGTCTGTTGAAAGAAATTCTAAAGGACACTGTAAGCACTGATAGGCCCACAAAGAACCAACTTTTGTGGTAAAGTTGGAGCAACAAAATAGTGACATTTCAGAGGGGTAAGTCTCTGTCCAGTGGGCCCTGCCTCCCGGGAACACATGATATATGTGGATTAAAATGTCCCCAGCCATGATCACAACACTGACTAGAGGCTGTTACCAGGCATGTGCTCAAATAGCAAGTCAAGTGTAGGTTTTTAGTGGTGTCCTTTACCAGGTTGAGGATGTTTTTTTCTATTTCACATTTGCTGAGAGGCAAAAAAAAAAAATCATTGGTTTTACATTTTAACATGCTCTTTCTGCTTTTACTGAGGGCTCAGACACTTTTCCTGTTAATATGGTGGATTATAGTGATTGACATGAAAATGTTAAACCAGCCTTACATTCTTGGGATTAGCTCCCTGGTCATATTTATTTATTTTACACACTGCTAGATCAGTTGATATAACCCTAGAGGGAGGGGGTTGTTTCTATATTTTTGAAGATAGCTATATCCTCAAATATTTATATTTTATATTTGTTTTTTTTTTTTTTCCTGGTGATTGGCTAGCTTTAGTATCAAACTTGTGTTAACTTTATAAATTAAGAAGAGCTTCCCATTTTCCAAAGGACTTTGTGAATTTTATTTGTATTTTTACATTTATTGTCTGGATGTGTGTGTGGGGGGGGGTATACATACCATGGCACAGGGCATGCTTGTGGGAGTCAGTTTCTGTTTCCACCATGTGGGGCCTTCAGATAGAACTTAGTCCATTAAATTTGGCAGTAAGCACCTTGGTCTTCTGAGCCATCTTGCCCCTATGTAGATACATTTCCAATACATTTAAATATATGATAAAATCTATCAGTGAATCTGGGCTTGGATTTTCTTTATAGGAAGGATTTTTATTTTTGTGTGTGAGAGCTTCTTTAAATAGTGTTATTCAAATTTTCTAGTTCTTTTTGGATTGGTTTTGAGTAAGTTGTGCTTTTAAAGGAATTTATTTCTTCCAAGTGCTTGAGCTTATTAAAGTTGTTCATAATCCAGTCTTGTTTCTGGAGTATTTATCAACTATATAGTCAAAACTACAGATTCCTTTATTCTCTATTCTTACTTGGAAGTACATGTTTTCCCTCTTTTGTAAAAGGCTTATTAATCTTTTCTCTTTAACAGAACAACTTTAGGCTTTTAAATTTTGCTTTCTTTTCTATTTCATTGCTTTCTGCTAATATGTTTATTTCTTTTGGCTTACGTTGGGTTTATTTTTTTCCTAGCTAAAATAGAAAAAAAAGTGATGTTCAAAATGTAATAAGACAGGTACTCAATGGCAAAATGCCCCTGGTTTACATGTCTATATGACTGTAACACAATAGCCCTTAATTATTTATTGATTAAGTGAATGCTGTAATGGAGAAAGCAGACAGAGAAGCTGAGTAATGTCAAGACAGAGTCTAGGTTTTTATTACATCATTAGAATGACTTTATGGGCTTGTCTGTGCCTTTGTTCACATTGTTCTTTCACTTTAGAATAGTTGTCTTCCTTTCCTACCTGTTGAATATCTACTTAGCTTTTAATAGTCCTGTCCCACAAAGTTATTTGTCCATTAAATTTTATCATGTTGTATAATAGCTAGTGCAGTTGGCCAGAGCATGTTCCTCTTTTGAAGCAAGATTTCACTGTGAGTCCCAGGTTGGCCTTAGTCTTAGAATTCTCTCTGTTGAAATTATAGACCTGTGCCTGCCAGAGCTTCTTGGGAATAGTATTTCTTTCCTGATCTTTGCATTATGATGGTTTAGCTGCTTATTGTGTGTTAAAAGACTAAAAGGCTAGTTAGCGGGGTTGGGGGAACATCTCGAGGACTCTAGTTAAACTGGCCTACGGAGAACTGGGGAAACCTTTTATTCTGGCCACTTATAGTTGTAGTTCTAACAGTATATATCTCTGAGGAACCAATCTTCTCACTGGGCATGGTGGTTTACCATTTAGGAGGCAGAGGCAGAGGATTTCTGTGAGTTTGAGACTAGCCTGGTCTATATATCAAGTTCCAGGATAGCCAGCACTACATAGAACCCTGTGCCAGCCCTATAATCTCAGCACTCAAGGCAGAGAGGCAGGTGGAACTCTGAGTTGGAGACCAGCCTGGTCTGTAGAGCAAGTTGCAGGATAGTCAGGGCTATATAGAGGAAGAAGCCTATCTCAGAGAAACAAACAAAAAGCAACCCTTTTTTGTGTCAAACAAAAAAGGAGTTAAATCTTTTCCTTGTTTGTTATTTCTACCCTCTAGAGTTAAGACTGTGAGTTCTACAGGAAGCTGCATAGGAACATATGCATGCTTGAGCGTGTGTTCTGTATAACAGGCTTCATTTATTCCTGGACAGCAACAGGGGCAAGCGAGCAGACTTATCTGATGAGGAAGTGAAGGAAACCGAAAACCTGAAGAAAAAGAGGAGAAGAATCAAGCTTCCTCAGTCTGACAGCAGTGAAGATGAAGGTAAACATTGCTAATAATTTTTATTAGGGGGATCATTTCTTGGTTCATGCTCAAGGACCTAAAAATGTCACTGTGAACTACAGTGAAAGCAGTAGTTCTAGCAATGAAAGTACATTTCTCATCAAAAATCTACTTCAGTCTTTTGATCAGAATAGTGATCATTTGATAACTTGTGAAAATGTATGAAGCAGAAGGTGTGAATACTGTCACATATACTAAGAGCTTTCTTTTCTCTTTAAGGCTGGTGTTCCTTTGACTGTTCATGTGCATGTTGTAGAATTACATGCACACCCTCACACACGTGAACATGTGCATGCACTTCTTGTACTCACAAAGCTATAAAGACTGGATAGTCTAGTGTTATTGAAAGTGCCAGCTCTGAATTGAGTTCCTGTGGTTGATTGTAGCAGACAAAATAAGAATACCCACAGGCTATTAGGGATGTGTTTGCAGTGGGGAAGGAGTGTAAAGAAATATGGTGTCGGTGAGCAGCACATGACAGAGCAGAGGCCTAGGTTCTTTCCTCTTCCAGAGATCATTTTGGCATCTGACTAAATCATTTTATTCTAAAACGTCTGTCTGAAAAGCCATCAGGGTTTTGTTTTGAATCTTTATACAATCTCTAACTTTTTACTTGTGTCCCACTGAGTATAATAGCTAAGTCTGCCATCTCAGGCTAGGCATTAGCAGATGCACTAGAGGCCTTCAGTGATGGCAGGAACTCCAGAGTCACACAGACCTGGGTTTACATCTTCCTGCACTGCTTCCTGTGATTTCTGATGTTAGGCAGAGACTTAATTTCCGTGTCTATTCCTCCAAATTTACAATGTCACTACAGACTACAGTCCTTTGTGAACATGAAGACAACACATCAGAAGTGTCAGGACAGTGCTTGACAAACACAGTAGCTTTTCACACCTCAGCAAAGCCTCTTCTTCACCCTGGAAATGTTTTAAGCACTTTTAGTAGTTCTACATATTTAAAAGAATTATACCAGGCCCAGAAAGAAATAACATTAGTCTTTGTGTTGCTAAGAAGAAATAGTTTTTATAGCTGTGTTAGGTGCTTGCTACTGTTTTCAGTCCTTGCAAGTTGTGCACATTGTTTTTCAGGTAATGATAGGTATTGTAAAAATATGTACCAAGTTCTAGGAAGTGGTGATTGCTTTCCAGGAATTGGGATTTCTAGTCTCTGCGAGAGGACTCTTGACAAACAAGTGGTGGTTACATTGCTGGTTAGTTGAAGCTAGTTTTCCCAGCAAAGCTGCTTTCCTGAGCTAATGCTTTGCCACATGAATGTTTTTCATCATCGACTACAAATCTATTTCAGATACTCTAGTGTACAAAGCATCTGTTAATATTTACGTCAGTAAAAGTGTGTTAAGTCAGAAGACTTGGCTTAATGGTAAAGACTGAATATGGGCAAGTTTTTAAAAAATGTCTTTGCACCTCAGTTATATGAGACAAATAATGATTTGTGGAGTTGTTACGAGAATGAGTGGTTAATGTTTATAAAGTAGAAAATGTTGGTTGTTTATCCTTCCTTAAAATATTTAAGTTTAAACACAGTCTACATATACACAATTTTTAAAGTCAGATAAAACAGTTTATAATGATAATCCCTCCCATGTGAGTCACTGAACTCACTTGTTGTCAGCACTCTTCCATCTGCCTTCCATCTCCCCAGATGTGTTGAAATCTCTTTATTTCTCTGTTCTCTTCTCTTCCATGGGATTTTGACATTTTATTATTGTATGATTCTTTGGGAGGAGGGCAAGTGGAAAGGAGGCAGTATCTGCAGTCTTCCCTTGGCCTGAATATTCCTCACCCCTAATTTTATTCAAGAAGTGCTTATTCTCCTTGATTTAAAACAAACACAGTTGCTGCTGCTCTGCATTAGTGCCAAGACAACTGTGGCATCTTTGACTCTTTGAGGTGAGATGTAGGTAAACAGTGCAGTGCTAGGAGGGGCCCAAGGGGGAGCCATTGGAATTGTTTCCCTTTGTAAGTCCTATTGTTGAGGAACTGAACAAAAGTACCCAGGTTTATCACTGAGCACTCAGAATTTCTTTGCTTTGCTTTCCTTGCTGCCTAGACTTTCTCTGACCACTGAGGTCCACTTATCTAGTTAGCCATTACTTCAGAACATTGAGTTCTTGGTTCTGGTGTGTGACACTTTTCTTGCTTAGGCTCCCATCGTGCACTGGCTTCCCAGCTAGACTGACACTGTACTGCTTTCCTTTTCTTTCTGTTTCTTGCTCTACTGAGCTTATAAAGTTAGGGGCCCACGTCATACGTGAAGTATCTCATTTATTGTTTTATCCTGGCTTCTATGCTGCTTCACCTCTTTAGGTCATTTGGCCATGATCCCTCCACTATCATAATTTCTAACACTGACTTAATCAGTTAGGAGAAATTCAGTTCCAGGATTTGTGCAAAGAATTTGAATGTAGCCTGGAGCTTCAGGGAACAGCTGAAGCTAAGCAGCTGCCAAGGCCCACGACCAGCAGTTTCTTTGTGGTGATTCAGAAGCAGGTCAGGGTTAAGGACATAGCTCAGTGTAGACTACTCACCTAGTAATTCCAAGGCCTCGGGTTAGGACCTCAGCTCCAGACAAGCAGTGTGTCTGCTGCAGCTCTTCCCCTCCTCTCTGATGGCCTTCTCCCGGACCTCTGTTTCTTTATTGAGAAACACTGAGATTCCTTCCCATGGTGCTCCATCTCAGATACTATTTCCACTGCATTCTTTCTCTCCTAACTTTTTCCTGCCCATGCTCTGTGTAGCAAAGTAAGCCTTATCAGTCAAGTCACTAGAAATAGTCCCATAAAAACTACTAATCAGCTCCGGTTGTTAGATCTTTCATGGAAATTAGGGCTACGTCAGCCTCAGATCACAGCAGCAAAGATGCTTCTGAGATATGTTGAGTAGAGCAGGCTTCTGGTCGTGGGTGATACGAACATAGATGGTTGGGTTAGGAAGGCTGTGGAACCACACTGATAGGTTTAAATCTTGCTTTGAGTTGTGAGCCTTTGTCAGGTGATGGAATCTCCCGAAACCTCTGTTTATTCAACTGTATTATGAAGTAAGATCTGTCTCTGAGCTGTGTGAGGGTGAAGTGAAACACCTGACATGTGCTAAGTGATCAGTATCTTTCAACTTACTTCATGCTCTGATCTTGTTGTAATAGAACCCTTGGCCAAGATAATCTCTAAGGTATTGTCAACTTTAGAAATTCTTTATTCTCCAATTGTAATTATGTAAAATTAATGTGTTTCTTAAAGTTAAGTCTCTAACTGCAGAGGCCTTGGTTGTCATGAATTACTGCTTGTAAAATATCCTGTGATAACCACAAGTTTCAAGGCAGATGCAGTGGAGAGAAGGCAGCGTGCCAGTTAGAGCTTGTTGTCTTCATTAAGCCTGTTCCGTTTTCCCAGTCTTCGCAGACTCTCCTGAGATGTATGAAGCAGACTCAGCATCTCCACCTCCTGCATCTCCACCTCCTGATCCTATTCCAAAAACTGAGCCCCCTCCTGTCAAGGTAAACCCACCAGAGTGTTCCATCCTGTGTGTCTTTTCTCTCTCAGGAACCTACAGTCACCATGTTGAATTGTGTGTCACTTTTTCTGTGCTCCATCAGTGCTTGTAGCTGGCTCTATCTCATGGTGCTCCTCCTCACGCTGGCCACATGGATGTGCCTCTCTTCTCACCTAAGGGGAAGCTGTTGCTTAGGACATAGCCTTAGAAAGCCTGCAGAGGTGGCTCACGGGTAGCTCTGGGTTGTTTGGGTTTCTGTGACCGTTACCATATGGCTGCTGTGCTACACAGCTGCAGTTGGAATTGTGCAAAAGAAGGTCCCGCCTGCACCAGGGCAAATTATGAAAGATAAAACAAAATTCAAATTTGTCCTTCAGGGAAAGGACTGGATGAGAAAAACCACAACAAACAGCCATGTGCAATTTTGAATGCTCTTTAGTTGTGGCTTATTCACGTGTGTTAGTATGGATGATGAAATGTTGAGAAGAGACTGCTGATAAGCCTCCTTTTCTTTGTAACCATTAGTTTTCTTAATCTACTCTGTTAAGCTTTCTGTAAATCTCATGCTGTTACATCATAACCTAAGAGTGGGATGGATGAAAGACAGTGGAGACAAAAGGAAAGTGACAGTAGTGATGTGTGCTTCTGGGTAAACTACCTGGGTATGGTATTCCAGTGCCAAGGCTGAGCATAGCAAGTGCCAGAGCCCTAAACATCTCTGCCCCAGCTTTCCTGGAGAGCCCTTCCTTACACAGCCTACCGTATGCAGTGTATGCTGTCCTTGTCTGTCTCTTCCAGTAAGGTCCTTAAACTATTTGTCTTTTATGCCAAGAACACAGATCTTTCCTAAGCATGCTGCTTTTCTTTCTGTAATTGGGAAGATACCAATGCATACAGTAAGCATTATGGCAGTGTGGCAGGACTGTGTAGAGTTTCTCTATCTTTTATAATGGCATGTTAGGAGGTGGTTTTTAGAGACTTAAAACATTTTGTTATTTTTCTCTATAGCTTCACAGGTCAACTTAATATTGTTACTCTCTGATCTTTTAGCATTCAAGTGGAGAAAAAAAAAGAAAACGAAAGCGTGTACTGAAATCTAAAACCTTTGTGGATGAAGAAGGCTGCATAGGTAAGACAGATGTTTGGATCAGAGGCACTAGAATCCCCTGCAGAGCAGTCTGTCCCAGATGTGAATGCTCATGGGACTTAGCTCATGCAGGCTGCTGCTTGTGGTCTTTGGCCCACACTTACAATATAGACTACAAAGAACACTGCAGCAGAGTCAGAACACTGGGCTTTTGTGTGGGCCCTACACCATGAAATAAAATTCTGAGTGTGTGGCATCGAAGCCATGTCATCTCTGCTGGAGATTTTCTTGATCTGTGGAATGGAAGAAAATTAACTATTTTGCTTCCCAATGGGGTCTTTGTGAAGATTCAGATGAGGTAGCAACACTGTCTCAGACATTGAGAAACATTCTTTTAAATACTGATTGTGTTAAACATTTTCAGTAGTGGGGAGGAAGCTTCCTGCAGATGATTAGACCCTGGAAAGAGTCAAGTGTTTGGTGCCCAGTCTCATTCATCGTAGGAGAGTCCGATTGGATCTCCCTGCTTCCTGTGTCCTCCTTGTGCCAGCTCAGGCTCTGTCCACAATTCAGTGGTCTTCAACACTTGAAGTCTGTTGACATGCTCAGATTCCAACACCATGCTCTCCTGTCTGGAAGCAGTTATGGGTTTAGGCTTGTAACCCTCTGGTCTGTTGGAGCAGAGATAGTTCTTTCTCCTTTCTTATGGTACCCACCACGAAGTAGATCTCCTAGAGAAGATTCTAATGCCCTATCTTTTTGTTGTTTTGGTTTGGTTTTTGAGATAGGGTTTCTCTGTGTAGCCCTAGCTGTCCTGGAACTCACTCTGTAGACCAGGGTGGCCTTGAACTCAGAAATCCGCCTGCCTCTGCCTCCCAAGTGCTGGGATTAAAGGTGTGTGCCACCACTACCAGGTTGCCTTGTCTTTTTTATTTTCCTTGTTTAAACTTCTGTCTTTAAAAGATTGGCTCTGAAGAATTGGCTCTTCCTTGACAGGGTGCTCATTAAAGCTCATGGAGACACTGTGTTGGTTGCATGTCCTGTGCTGTTATCCCATCTCCCGTTCTTCGGCAGGCTTGTCGCTGTGACTGCCATCTGTAATCGGGAAGTAGCATTCTCTGCATGTGCTGGTCCTCTCTCTGTGCCCCTTTTCCTGAAAATCTGTGCATTCTGAACTTTGGTATGTGTTTTTGTTTGTTTGTTTGCTTGCTTGCTTTTGGTATTTTATATGACCAGAATGCTCTAGCTATTTGAGGTGTGATATATTTTTTTAATTGAATTAAAAAGGCAAAAGCATCAGTGAAGTTTTTGTTTTTGTCATCCTTACTCTAAAAGAAGAAAATAAAGGCTATCTTTATGAGAGTTCACTAGGATCTGTGGCTAATTATTTATTGCTTTGTTTTGAGCCCTCATGTTTTGAGCAGACATGGAACATGGGCTTCTTTGTGAGCCTTTCTCCACATAAGACTGTTAAGGCTCGCAGGCAGTGATGGCATTGCTCACATAGCACCTTTTTCGTAAGGTTTTTAGTCCAAGTACAACCTAATGGTTCTTGGCTCTGGTTACCAGCACAGGCTGTGTTCCCTTCACTCTGCTTCGACTGTGCAGATACACCCGCACAGGGGCTTGCCCTTCTCTTGCTGGATTTTGTTCTCCTGAGGGTTTATAGCAGGGATCATGGTGTTGGGCCCTGAATTAGGTTGTGGTGAATTTCTGATCAAGGAAGGGGTTTCTAAGAGCAAAGAAACTGAATAGAATGTTGTCCACACAGCAGGCTTCTTGGAGTGGCAGCCAAGGAAAGTGATGTGTTCAGCTAACACAGAGGGGCTGTGCTTTGAAGTTCAAATCTCCTTTGTCCTGTAGTTTGAAGTAGCTAAGCTGTGACTATAGGAACACTCCTTTAATTTAGATTCACCAAGTGTGCTGCTTGGTAAGGCCTAGCTGGTTTTTAACTTTCCAAGCAATGTACCACACGAAATCAGCCACGAGACAGTCAGTGGTTTCACCAAGAAGTAATAAAATTACAAGGGAATCCTGTCATCTGATAGTATAAACATGCTACCATTTGACTAGCGAATATAGCTTGTGAAATAACAGAGTTACTTCCAACTCTGAAGTTACTTCCTTTCTCTAAACAGCTCTTCAGATCTTCCTGACATAAATAAATAACAGCTCAGAATTTTGTCCCATGAATTGAGTTATATGATGCACGTAGCATCGTACATGTTGGGGACGGAGGGTGTCTGGGATCATGCTTGCTGAACTGCAGATGTTCAATGGAAATGTCTCGTGTCTTCGCAAAAAGGTTGACAGGTTTCTCTAATATTATTAGCTATGTGAAATACCTGAAAGTCTTGCTAAAATTTGAATTCTTCTGCATTTTTCTTGTCTTTTTCTTTTCCTCTCTTCCTTTGTAGGCATGGTCTCACCATATAACTTAGGCTGGTCTCCTCAGGGTTCTCTCCAGTCTCCAAGTGTACAGATGTCAGGTGCTTTCATCACACCTTACTGAGATGCTGCATTTCTAATTAGATCACCAGAGTCCAAGTCTAGTCTGAATTACATTTTTAAAGCTTGTTACGTCAAAGTGGGTTCTCAGTTCTTGAAAGTAAAGACAAATCGCAAGACCTCCATGGGGAGATACTTGGTGGTTTTACAGCCCCATTTTGTTAGGTGGATGTAGGTGAAGGATGTGCTGCAGAGGCAGTAGCCATTTAACCTCCAGCAGGGTATACTGTGAAGAAGGAACACTGGGAAGTCTTTGCCAAAGACTGCCAGGTACATCCATATATGCATATATATGATTGTACTCCCCATTTTAATGGAGGGGGAACATTGATTCATCAGTGACACCCAGACCATCAGTGTTTGTGTCTGAGAATGTGTTTAAAACAAGTTTTCAGGTTCCACCACAGACCTGCTGCTGATCGTGAAACTTGGAGCTAGAATCCAGCAGTGTTCCCACGAGGTCCCCAGCTGACCCAGTGCATCTTTACATTGTGACAGCCCAGACTTTAGAACACAGATAGTTGAATCCCTGGGCCTGTGCTTCTGGAACAGTTGAATCAGTATATTTTAATTAAAAGGAATTATCAATGAATAAGAGTGTGAAACATCTCTCTTTGATGGGGACATGTCACCTTGAACTTTAATGCTTTGAGCACTTTTATACATATGAGATTACTTTTTCAGAGAAGAGATGTTTCCCTTCACTGCTTCTGTATCACGTGCTGCATCCAGAAAGGCTGGGAAAGACTGTGGGTGCTGCTGCTTTAGTTCTCATCTCAGTGAGGTGGCACTGTGTGTGGCCCATGCCTGATGCGGATGATGTGGTGTCATGGAAGGTCTCTCCATCTAATCTGTGAGGACATGATTGAAACCACTGCTTCTGCCTGTGTGTACTGGGGCTGAGTGTGACCAGCCTCTAGCATAGTTCTTTTCCAGGTTTCCTTTTGGAAGAGTTTGGGGAGTTTTAGTTTTTAATGTGTATACTGCATGCATGTGTATGCATCACATGTGTGCCTGGTGCCCAAGGAGATCGATCACAAGAGGACATTTGACCCCCTGGAGTTGGCATTTCAGGCAGTTGTGAACTAATGTGTGTTCTGGGAATTGAGCTCAGGTCCTCTGCAGGAGGAGCAAGTGCTTTTGGCAGCATCTTGGCAAGCCCATTTTAATGGCAGAGGAAAAACCTTTGGCTGCTAAGGAGTAAGAAAACTGGTAACATTGCTACTTACCATTGTCTGTCCATTAAAACTTTCAAATGTATGGTCTAGGCTGGTTTGTTTGGGGCAGTTTTTATCATGTAGGTTGTAGTAAATCTTGGGTTCTTTAATAGTCAAAGTAGTTTCAAAAACTGAGCAGCTGAGTAACAAATTGTGGCTTCGGGTGGGGGCAGTGGTTGACCCCAGGGTAGAGTGAGCCCCGAGTATGCATGTTGGGAGAGTGCTTAGGCAGAATTAGAAATGGATAAGTGTGGGGGTCGTGGAAACAGGATTCAGGAAGCCAGACACTGTGGAGTTTAGAAGTAGGTGTTTGCGATACAGTTCATATGCAGGGCTCAGAAAGTTAGCCAGTGTAGACTAGGACCCAAGTAACAGATATGGGCAATTAGATGATAGTGGCCCATTTAATGACGTGGGACACTGTGGAGGAGTGGAGGTTTTCAGCCCCATCAATAGGTTATGTGACTGTAGATATTTTCTGGCTAAGTCTAGATGTGTTTTTCCAGTAAGAAAAAGATGGAGGATAACTTAACATTTGGTAAATGACTCAAGCCACCCATGTCCTTCTTTTTTCCTATTCCAGTGACTGAGAAAGTCTACGAGAGTGAGTCCTGCACAGACAGTGAGGGGGAGCTTAAGATGAAGACAGCCTCAGCACACAGACCTCCTGCTGCCACTGTGAAAAGGGAGCCCAGAGAAGAACGGAAGGGCCCCAAGAAAGGGGCTGCTGCTCTGGGCAAAGCCAACAGACAAGTATCCATTACTGGCTTCTTCCAGAAAAAGTAAATACTGCCCCTGGAAGGACTTGGGGTGGTCAAGGGAGAAGACCAAGTATAGACTGTCACTTACTGTGTAAGTTTGCCTAGCTCCTTGCCTCGCCTGGATCAAATGCTGCTCTGCCATCATGGGACACGTGGACCACTTCTATTTTATTTACCCAAAAGGAAGTCACCTGGAAGCAGGAGGCAAAAGAATATTTTAAAACTGTTACATTGTAATAAGTTTATAAAGCACAATCTTTGACCTGCCTAGGAGAATTCATTCAAGAATTCCCTACTGGGCCCCACTCATCCTGTGCCATGTTCTTCTCCTGGTCCTGTGTGTTCTGTGAACTTGTGACAATGTTTTATTTTATGAATTCTACTGGATGTGTTCACTACTTCTCCATGTTCCTCTCCCTACTACCATACTTCTGTCCCCTGATCCCACAAAACTGTTTTCTGTAAATCTTTTAAGTCTTGGTCAGTTTTAAGCTAAAACTAAAATCTTCTGTAATTCCCTATCTCTATCAATATAGTGAGTGACACTCGGCTCCAGGCTAGGCCAGTGTGTATTGTCCAGACCTTTCATCATGGAAGCTCCCTCATCCTCCCTCACACTCACTGGTTAGGGCAGAGCACAGAGATGTGCTAATGTACCCAGCCTCACCAGAAATGACCTAGAGTAACATAGTGGGCAATGACAGAGCTGTTATGTTGCCAACACAGGGTACAGGTACACTTATGTGTGGTTTCTTCCTTCCAAATTTTCCATACTTAATACCTAGAGAGTGGAACCTGTATAGTGAGATGAAGGATTAAAATAAGAAATGCTTTTTATGCACCAGATAATTTCTCCCTCACAAGGAACTACAGAGTCCAGAAATGTCAGTTTCCCATTCTGGGAAGGAAGGGCGAACTTAGCATACATTTCTACACAGATGTTGCTCCTCTGTTTTGTCAAGTTCTTCATTTGCCCAGCAGTACAGGCTCCCCAGGAAGAGATGGGGGGCTGACTGGCTATAGATATAAACAGAAATTAAACATTTGCTTTTGTAGTTGTGTCTGTTCTGATAATAACTTTCAGTCACCTTCCATTCTGGCTGGGCAGGAGGTGAGCCCTATCCATGTCGTGTGGCAGTGGCTGTGTACACTGAGCTGTAGGGAAGGGAACATAGACTCTACTGCTGGTGTGATTCACCCAGGGGAGATGAGGGATGTCTGGCCTGACCCTTCCACTGAGAGCTGGCTTGTGTCATAAGATGTAATCAGTTGCCTACTGTTGAAGGTTGGGGTTGGGGCTGACCTTGGGATAGCTGCTTAAACAAGCAAGCATGGGCTTGATGGAGACCCGCAGCTTGGGAGATGAGTCCTGGCCTTACGTTGAGAACTTGAGGCAGATGCTTTGTCCATGAAGCTGAATAAAGGTGGGTATACTCCATTTTTTTTTTTTCAAGTGGAAAAGAGTGGAATGCCTGGACTTAAGCTTAAAAGAAACCTCTGGAGAAGAATCTCCTGTTTTTCAGTGGTTATTTTTGTCATTGCCTCTAGTCATTTTTTAAATGGGAATGGAAAAGTAGAAGGCAAGCATCCAGTCTTTTAAAAAATCTGATTATGGTGGGATTTCTAATAAAACCAAATTTGAATTGGAGCTCCAGTGCAATTTGGAGTTGCATCTTTCAAGGGAGAATGCAGATCCCTGCATTCAACCAGGCTACCCATGAATTTTTTTTTTTTTTTTTGGTTTTTCGAGACAGGGTTTCTCTGTGTATCCCTGGCTGTCCTGGAACTCTGTAGACCAGGCTAGCCTCGAACTCTCGAACTCAGAAATCCGCCTGCCTCTGCCTCCCAAGTGCTGGGATTAAAGGCGTGCGCCACCACCGCCCGGCTACCCATGAATTAAATAAATTCAAGAAGCTGTTTTGAAACAGAGCTTCAAACTGAAATGCTGACCAGGAACAGGCTGGTTTTCAGTTTATGTTGTTAAAAGTACATATCCATGGTCTGAGATGGGCAAGTTGTTAGCCATATCTTCATCTTTTTAGTCCTGTGGGAAATCTTAGCTTTAGCCAGCCTTACTTTTCAGTTTATTAGGAAAATCTTGTCCTGATCTTGCATTCTGTACTGGTTTGGCTTTATCCCTTCCCGCCTGGGTGATGGGCAAATTTCTGCCTCGGGTTTCTTAACAAAGTCAAACCAAAATGAACCACTCAGTGTGGAGTTGAACTGTTATCTGTAGCCTGAATGTGGTCCACAGTGACAGGCACTGAGTGCTGCTTCTCTCCCGATGGTGGATGCAGGCAGCTACTAGCTTCTTGAAATGCACACGACCCAAATAGTTCCTCTTGGAGGCCTCCTGGCTTTACACCTGATCAAAAGGAGAAGATGGTCATTGTCCTGTCTTATGACAGGTTTAAAGAGTAGAATTTTCTTTTTATTGAAAGAAATGCTTATAGAAAACAGTATTTACTGTTCTTTAAAACATTTATTGTGTCTAACATGCCAGGCATCTGACCAGAACACAGGAGCATACAATAGAAACGAGAATGAGTTTCTTATCTTCAGGATTCCATGGACACAGGTCTATAAAGTGGAATTGCAGGACAGTGAGTGCAGTGGTCCTTCAGCACCTTCAAGAAGGTAGGTCTCAAAGTAAGCTGTGGAGAGAGAGAGAACCACACAGTCCTTTGAAGGACATGTATAATTTTATCAAGAGAGAATGGGGAGGATGTTTCAGGCAGAGAGCATAGCTTCGTGCATAAAGGGATAGAGCCAGTTTTTTTCTTACGTGTATTAAGTGTTTTACATTGTGTGTGTGTGTGTGTGTGTGTGTGTGTGTCTGTCTGTCTGTCTGTCTGACTGTCTGTGCATTGTGTGTGTGTTCCTGGTGCCCTGGAGGTCAGAAGAAGACATCCCTGAGCCATCGTGTGGGTGCTGGAAATGGAACCCTACCTCTCTACAAGAGCAGCAAGTGCTCTTAATCACTGATGTGAAGTTGAGGTACTGCTAAGTAGTTTGGAATTTGCCTGTAGATAATAGACCACCTGAAAAATGTTCAGAGGGTTTTTTTTCTTTTTAAAATTCCATTAGAAGTCAGTTTTCTGATGAGTGACAGCTGGCATGTCGCATGCTCCAGTATGCTGTGAGGGCACATCTGTCAGTAAGTGCACTACTACTGTAACTGAAGTCTAGTAGTGGGAAAGTGCTAATGAGATTAAAGACACTGTCAAAGCTAAAGGCGCTTCATTCCTACAGCTGCCGTAAACAGTGCATAGTTCCCCAGACTCTATTCCAGCTTGCATTTCTGTAGCAGAATTGGTTTCTAAGAAGTGATTTCAAGAGGCGATAGTTCCTTCACACCCTCAATGATAGGGACCTCTACTTAGCTTAAACCACAGGAGTGGGATGAGGGCAGGACAGGTTCTCCTAGCCTTGCTCCTTTAAGAAGATGGTGCTTGTTATACAGAGAGCAGAAGAGAAGAGCCTTATAAGGAAACGAATCATTTCTTGAGGACAGGGTAGAACTAGCGTCTAATAACGGATCTGCCAGAAACGCACTCAGTGTCAAGACTCGTTTTAGTAAACTTGTCTCTCCTTTCATTGGTTCTGGGATCTCAGAATGCTGTATAATGCAGCTTTTACCACCATGAAACCTTCAGGGGCTGCCTCGTTTTGTTGGGAGAAGGGAGCTTTGCTCTCTGAGTTATTACCCGGCGGCTCTGTAAATTAGCCCATGCTGTCACCGTGCCCTCTCTGAAGGGCACACTGTACCCAAATAACTGCATTTAGGATCGGCTCTTGCCACTCCCTGCTGCATGACACTTCTCCCCTCTTGTGTTTCTGTCCAGTTTTGTGTGTGTGTTCTTAAGTGTGGGCCACCCACAGATGACCACCCAGGCTCCTTAGCAAGAAGCTTTGGTAAGGCTTCTGGTCTAATTTTCCATTGGATCAGAACCCACCGTAACTCCACAATTGCCCTTCCATTTCAAGCCTAAGTTGCCACACTCCCCTCCTTTATTTTTCTCCCTTACTCTTGCCAGGCTCCTCATTCCTTGAGGCCTCCCCTTGGCTCTCACCACCTTCTTTTTTAAGGCTCAGAGTTCTCTGTGGCTAGCCCTTCTTGAGCTTTTCCTTTGGTCTCTTGGGCTTTCTCAAGGTTCTTCCATGTGGCTTGCCTTTTCCTGGACTGCACTTGAAGGATGGAAAATCCACCTTGTCTAATGTCTGCTTTGTATCTTTCAAATGCAAAGCCCCAAGCTGTTGAATGATTGTCACCTTGGTCCCAGACAAGAGACTCTGGCATTTGTAAGAACCTGTAAGTTCCTCCATTTTGAAGACAAGTCACAAACACACTAACTAGTTATAACAACAGTGTTCAACAGTGACACTACTTAGGTAAGTGTTAGGAACCCACTGGGGAAGGGTTAGCATTGTGTAGGCACTCTCAGCTGTGGGAACTTCATCCACCATCTATATACTATGGTCTATGTAAGCAAAGTACGAATGGCAGGCTTTAACATAGTTCCTGCCCACTCTGAGACTGGAGAGTTGCAGACAGGTTTTGAGCAGATAACTAGGATTATTGTGAGTCAGTCCATACAGCGGTTCTCTGTAGGTTCAACTTGATTATGTAGAGTCCCAACAGTTTTGACACACTGGACAACAGGGTTCTGTGATGGAAGCATAAGCCTGAAGCAAGAGGGCCTCTGTTCAGCACTGCCCATAGGCCAAGTTCTGCTCTCTGACTTCAGCTTCTTCATTTAAAATCCCTAGCCACCTACCTTGCTGCAAACCATTAGTAAGATAATGTGTGGGCAGTCCCTTATAGTTTGACACATTAAACTGGAGAAAAGAGCTCCTTTTGAGTACCTACTATGTGCCAAGCACTGTTGCATGCATTGTATATATTAACTAACTCTTGCTCCTAACAATCCTGACATGAGTACTTTTTGAGACACTGTCTCCTGTATCCCAGGCTGGCCTCAAACTCACTGTAGCCAACGATGACCTTAAACTACTGATCCACTCCACCTCCTGAGTGATGGGGCTATGGGCATAGATCACCTAGTTTGTGTGGTACAGGGATGGGGTCCAGGACTTTGTACATACTAGGCATACTGAACTATGTCTCTAGTCCACTGCCACCTTTATCCCCACTTTGCATGAGGAGACAGGCAGTTTGCTCAAGATCACAGAATTGGGAAGTAGCAAAGGCAGGAGATATACATCATGACAGTAGCACTCCCTTGCTCAATCTTACCCCTTCATGTGGTATAACATATTTGCTGCATGTTAATTTATCATTCCATGCTGTCCAATGATGACTGATGCTCATTTTGTGTGTGTGTGTGTGTGTGTGTGTGTGTGTTTGTATGGGTGTTTTGCTTGCATGTAAATTCACACCGTGTGTGTGCCTAGTATCTGCAGAGGTCAGAAGAGGGCATCAGATCCCCTGGAACTGGAGTTACAGGTGGTTGTGGAGGGATTGGGAATTGAACCTGGAACTCTGAAAGAGCAGCCTTAAGTGCTGAACCAACTTGCCAGCTCAAGTGGAGATGCTCATTTTTCTATGTGGAAACCCCGCTGGCTTCTTCAGATCCCATACATTCTCATTTGAAGCCTGTCTCAATGTCTAGCAGCTGCTCCTCTTAGTTCTCCCTGCAGCCTCCCCGCCAAGTGCTCTTGAGGCTATAAACAGCCCATTATGTTTTGTATCCCATACTCACTAACTTACACAGTTAGATAAGCAGACTAATAAATGCTAGGAAGAATTTTAAAAAGAATTTAGAAGAAGTTTAGACAAAAATAGTTTTCCAGTCGTTTTGAGTCACCAGGAAACCCTGTAAATTAGGCTCTTGGAGGAATCCATCTATTTGGTTTCAGTTGTAATCAAGAATACTGTTTGCCTTGAGAAGTTCATCCAATTCTTGGCCTTGCTGTCGACACAACTCCGTAAGAATAACAAAGGACATTGGGCTTTTTTGCCCTAAGTAACCCATGCTGCAGGGTCACAGGTAGAAAGCGGCCCAGGAAAAGTTGCGCAGTTTTACAAATAGGT